AGCTCTGAGGCTTTTACTCTTTCTGATTATAACAGGCATTTTATTTCTGGCCTTGATAGTTGATGAGATATCAAACTTAAAATATGCCATGATCCTATAGTCTGGTAGTGCTTTCTGGCACTGGTCAGTGACTAAATATAGCCAGTTTTGAATGGCTGTGATAAACCTGGAAATAATGTTGAGCAGAAAATTCTCAGACAATTCCACAGACAAATGTGGAATATGAAATTACTTTTCTGGATTGGATCTTGTTTGTAGTGTATATGTTTTTGTGCCCTGTGTCTCTCATCCCTGAGTTTTCCAACTGCTGTCCTATGAATGTTTTGTGGTACAGCTAAATCTTAACTAAGGCATCTCAGTGGCTCATGTTGGTTCATGCTAAAGCAAAAAATAACAGGTTTTTAAACCCCAGCTATTTCATGCATTCCTTTTGGCTTTGTAAACCATTTTGCTTTGTTTTTACAAAAATAAAGTGTGTTTTAAAAAACCCATGCATTTCCAAAAATCACTGATTGTCTTCCAGTGAGCCTAGTCCAGAAACATGCAGATTCTAGCATTGTATTATGGGATATAATACAATGCAAGAATGAGTGGTATTCATCTGTCATGCATAATGTGGAGGTAATAGGGGAGGAAAGGAACCTTTTAAAAAGGATTTTTTTTGTTTGTTTAGGGTTTTAAAATTGTTTGCTTACATTTGTTTCCTTTTTCTTTAATTTGTCTTTTCTTTTTGGTTGTTGTTGTTGTTAGGGGTTTTCTTTGTTTTGGCTAGGGTTTTTTTGTGTTTTTATTTTTGTTATTGTTGTTGTTTTGGGGTTTTTTTTGTTTGTTTTGGGGGTTTTTTTGTGTTTTTTTTTGTTTGTTTGTTTGTTTGTTTTTAATTTTAAACTTCTACCAGGCTATGTTTAATTTCAAGATGGTGTCTTTGCTAGAAACATAATCAAATGTAATGTCTTCCACAACCTCTTCATATGCATGACTGCATAAAGCTTGTATAACAGTTTATTATTATAAAATTAGTATAGAATAGCATAGAGCAAACGGGGCCCCTGGCCAGATGAACTAGACAATGAATAGTTATATAAGGTTTTGAGGCACATGTATTAGAACACAAGTGCCCTGTATTTTCTTCTCAATTGTCTGCTGTTTGTTAATGTTTCCCTTTCAGTGTGATTGCATCTCAATTTAATAGCACTTGCCATTTCAGGGTTTACTGTGCCAGCGCTTGCACAGTTACATCCCCTCTGTGCTGCAAAGCCTGCATGTATATTAAAACTGAACTAGGCATGGTTGGCTAATGGGTACTTCAAGAGATATGCACTTACAGAATTAAGTGATGTATGTAATTGTTAATTTTGTGTTAACAGGTTTGAGAAATGTGTTTCACCAATAATTGTAATGCTCTGTTCTGTGCAAAGTGTGACATTTTAATTCTTGTGGAACAGTTTCCTACCTCTACTCTGTGTTTTCATGGCAGGGTATTATTTTGCAATCAAGATAAAAGCATTATTTATTAAAGTTCTAGAATATTACATTACTGGAAGTTATAAGCTGCAGATCAATCTTCCCTTTCATAAAAGCATTTCATTGATTTTGTTTTTTTAATTGGCCTTTGAATTTTAACTTAAGTTCTTTCTCATGGATTGCATATGATTCCAGAAGCAAAGAAATATTTTAGTGGAGACTTGATGCTGTTTTAAAGGCAGCAGTGTACCTGTCACAGAACTGTGGGAAAGGCTTGCATTTGGCTTACGCAGCTTTGGGACTGTCAGATCCCAGCCTGCTGCATTTTTTGGCACAGGGAGCCCATTGACTTGGGCTGTGGGAAACCTACATTCAGCACTATCGGTCCTTGTGTCTTTCTTTGCGCCTCCAAAGGAATTTCTGTTAGAGACTTCACTTGGGAGTCAATTAACAACTCCTTCGTGCTTTCAGTGAGCCTTTCCATGGTGAGAGGGTGCTCCATAGCATCTGGCTGCAATAGCCCAGGTGTCTCTTGGTGACACTTGCACCTGCCTTGGGAGTGCTGGATTTAACTGCTTTCTGTATGTAATGCAAACAGTCCAGAAGTGCAGATCCCCCAAGTGCCTATTGCTTCAGTTCTCCTATTCTTCAGTTCCTCACCTTTGCCCCCCTTGCCACATGGTCCCATCCCTATCCTGCTTCCCTTTGCCATGCCAGGGCTGTTCCTCCCATGCCACCAGCCCTTGGTGGTTCATTCGTGTCACTGCACACGTGAGACCAAGCCCTGCCTATCACCACTCCCTTTTGCAGTGAGTGTATTAATTCTTCCAACCCTTGTAGGCCTAACTATGAAGCCGCACAAAGCAAGGCTCACGTTTTTCTTCCAGTTAGCAGACAATTACTTCATTGGGTCCTTCTGTGTCATCCCATCAGTGTAGTCTGACCTTGTGCAGACTCACTGGTTGGCAACAGTAAGGAAAGGCAGTTGAGAAGAGGAGACCATCGCCGTCCTCCACGGAGTTCAGGAGCGGCTGTGTCTAGGATTTGACTTCCCAGTGAAGCCCGTTTTTCTTACTTGCCAGTAAGATAAGGAAAGGGCAGGGTGGGATGAGCGTAATAGGCTCAAAACACAATAAAAATAGCAGAGGAAACAAACAGTTTGTGCCTAATTTGAAACCAACAGATCTCCATGGTGATTGCAACAAATCCGCTACGTTTGACTGTTTAGTGAAGACAAAAGGTTAGAAATAGGAGTTCACCAGCTCTGCTGGACTGTTTGAATGAACATAGGAGTAGGAGTGTTAAAACCTTCCCAATGACTGAGTGGCTGTGTGAAAGTGCTAAGGTGAATTCTGGGAATAACTTCATTGAAAATCCAGAGGATGCAAGTGTCTTCCTTCATAATGCATCTTCAGAAAAATCAGCTACTACAATTTTCCTGGGATTTTTGCTTTCAGCAGTGCTGTTGTGTGGAAAAGAGTCCATAGCACTGTGGCTTCAGACAAAAATAGCGTGCTAGAAAACCTTCAGAAAGCAGGCAGTAAGCTGAAAACTTTTGATAAATATTAGGACTAATACACTTGCCACAGTGAATAACAGGACTATAACCCATCCAAAACTTTTGTTTAGCATTGTACCAAGGTAAATCTTTATGTGAATTAGAAGCCAGAGATAAAATTTCAGTCCTAATTTACAGATACTTGAGACGGGGGAAGAAGGGACTGCATTAGTCCTCACCAAAGAAGAAATTCTGTTCATGGTAGTCTGAAATATTGCCATGCGATGAGTCAGAAAGCTTTTGTTGTTTTCATCTTCAGAGTTCAGGGCTACTGAGTTTTGGCATGCAGACTGGGCAGATAGCATTTACAAATCAACACGTCCCTTTGCTGAGGCCATTGGCACAGAAAGCTTCCTATTTGCAGTTGGTGTGTTTGAGTTTCTGAGGGTTTTTTACATATCAGTTTTGGAGGGGAGAAGATACTTCTGTAGTATTTAGTGATAATGAAAAGATCTTCAGAGACAGCTGATGAAGACATTCAGAGTGTATGTTACACTCTGAAGATTTAGATTTTCTTGAATAAATATTGACCAATTTGACCTTTGCTTTTCCTCAGTCAATATTTATCTCTTGGGACAATGAATCTTTATATTCACCTTAGCTGAAGTCCAAGTATTACTTAATAGTGTACTTGGAAATCCAGAAGAGGTGATGATTTGTCTTGATGCTAGTTTTGTCTGTTTAAAAGCAGGTATGTAGGTTTGGCCAACTGAGCCTCTTTGTCAGATTTCCTAAACAAAGTAACTTCAGGTCATGGCTGATGGGGAGGCTCCTAGGAAAAACTTAAATCCGATGGATTTGAGAGACCAAGAAACCAGTGGATTTCCAGGAGTCCCACTCTGACCCTGAGACAGGTCTGGGAGCAGGGGATCCCTGACATGGCCAGGTGGTGCTAGGACTGTGCTACCCTGTTTATTATTTCAGTGGCAATTCCAGTGTTTTGGGGCTCTGGCATAAGCTGATGCTGAGACACAACCTTCCTCTGAGAAGTGGGGGTGCTGCAGCAGCACGTATGGCTGGAACCACTGGCTCAGGGTTCCTGCACAGGTCCTGCCACCTCCTTGCCTGGATGCACAGTGTCACCTCTTCAGAGTCCCACAGCATCGCTGGCTGCTGTTGGACAAAACCTCCTCTTACCAATTGGGGCAGCACTTTGGAGAGGAAAGTGAAATTACTCCGCTTGTGAACTACGCTGTCAAAGTGAGAGCAAGAGAAATGGAAAGTGCTGTTCAGGCAGTAGAGAAAGGCGGAGCCTTACAAATATCTGCTTATGCAAATCAAATCATTTGTCTTCTGAAATGTTCATTTTGCCTTTTCCCTGATTATATTTTCTGAATTGCCATATGTATTTCTTGTGATATTTCGGTCTTGTCAAATTAAGATGAGAAGGCCTTATAATTAACTTAGGATATATACCAAATAAAGCAATGTTTGTCATTTTTACTGTGTAATCAGTCAATAATATTACAGGTGGTCTGTAAGTTAAAAAAAAAAAAGAAGTCGAAACTGTTTTTGTAACCTTATAACTATCAAAGGTATTTGTTTAGGGAGAAGGCATTGAGAAAGAAGAGAATTTTAAAATTGCACAATTACAGTTAAAAAAACAGAGCAAGCAACGTCATATGTTTCTGAAGAGCACACTGTTTAATTTTATAGTAACAGTATTTTAAGAATGCTGACAGTACACAGGAAGGCAGTGAATAATTCTTGTTGCAAAACCCTGATGGTTTGCTGTTTTCAAAATGTTAAGACTTAGTCAGCCCTGGATTTCTCTAAGGAAGAACAGGACATTTGGGGGAAAAAAAAAAAATCCCCCAGTAGTAATGTATCAAAGCAACATTCAAATAAAATAGAGGTTTGGTATCCTTACTTAGAATAGACTGGAAAATGCGTTTGTTTTCATGTACCTTTTTTTTTTTTTTTTTTTTTTTTTTTTTTTTGTGATATGCCTGATTGACTTGTTTTAATACCGGTGTTATTTACATTTCAGGGATGGGCCTCTATTATGCAGGAAATTGTCCAAACCCCTCAGCTGTATTTTAAATTGAAATTATTTATTTTATGAAGTGATTGTGCAGACTTAATTTAGTAATCTATTATTAAATCTATAGTTTCAGGCTGTATGAAGTCTTTATATAGCATGAAAATGGGCACATATGAAGATCTAGGCTATATATACACCTGGTTCTGTGTATTAAATCTTTTACATATGTTGTCCATTTTCAGAAACAAATAAACTGCTGCTTTTGAAAACTCAGCTTCTCTTCCATATTAGGGAATTCTGCAGACTCCCTATGTTCCTTAGCTTCAGTATAATGCTAAATCAGTTTGTACATTAGTCTATTTTTAGTTATGAATGAACTTTATGGAGTGCTGCACACAGAGCGATTTCAGAGATTCTCACTCATAAAACCCGTGTGTCATGCGCCTCAGTTACAGCTGTAAACATTATGCAAGCCCTGGGCTTCCTGGGCCGGAGCCCTGAAATTTCCAGGGCGGAAAAAGCATCCCCCTCCCTCGCCCTTTTGTGCAAAATATTCGGCAAATAATAAATCTGCCGTCGTGAAATCAGGTTAAATTGTGTGACCTTGGCAGTGGCGGGCAGGCTGCCTGGCGTGGCAGCAGGGGGACACTAGAGGGCAACTGAGAGTTTTCTTTAAACCAGCCGAGCTGGAGATGGTTTTAATATCAACTGTTTAAACTGAGTGAGGATTTATTTTCCCGTCTGCAGATTTCACATAAGTAACCTCGGAGTTTCCATTGACAGCAGATAATAATCCAGCTGAAGTTCTTCTGGGGGAAAATGCAGCGGGCGCGGGTCCGGAGCCTGCTCTTGCCCAAATAAGGCTTTTTTTGCAGACCCCATGTGTTAGATAATGATCAACTGACAGTCGGTCATGAGTTAATAATGCTGGATGCTGAAATATGCATACCATGTGGTATACAACAGTTCTGCGGGGAGAGACAAACACAGCTATAATTAGACATCTGAAACACAAGGAAGTGTGTAAATTGTTTAATAGTCTTCCACTTAATTCACTCAGATAATTTCCTAAGAACCAGTATTGACTACGGAAGAATATTGCACAACTGACTGCATATTTAGTTTAAACCCTGCCCTGCTCAGATAAATTTATGGATACAGCTCAGTTTTATTTGGATTTTTCTGAGTGCTAGAGATTTGCTGGGGCCAAAATGAAGAGATGGGTTCAGTTTTGTTTGTGTTGATGTTTGGGATGATTACACCAAGTCCGTGGGGTTTGCACTCATTTAAACTGGGCACAAGGTCTTACAATCAGGACTTCAAAACCACCGTTTTGGGGGTGTTTTGGGACTTACACAGATTTCCTAGCTGCCCATACACAACCTGAAAAAATTGCCAGAGTTCCACTTCTGTGTTTTATGGATGAAAAAGTTCAGATCCCTTCCTGTGCTCAGCAGTGCTGGGCAGTGTCCCCTCTGCACCTCAGCAGTAACACCCCATGTCAGGTGTATGCAGATCTCCCAGGGTGCCAAGGCTTTGTTCCCAAGCTGTCTGCAGAAGTGGAGTTGTCTCTGAACCCTTTGCTGACTCTGTGCACTGTGGTGGGGGGCCTGGCAAGCCAAGTGCAAGCCAAGTAAAGTTGGTGATGACCCAGAGATGTGAATGGGCACAGGGCTTAGGCTGTGGCTGCTGCTCCTGCCTCCTCCTAATGCCTTGTGTAGTTGTTGTGGTGGCAGCTGAATGGAGGCATCAGAGGGGAGAGCTTACTCTGTAGTTTCTGCTTGTCGCTTTACTAATATCTTCATGCAGGCTGATTATGCCTAACAGATTTTGATTACTTTGCAGTACAATGATCAAGTGCAAAGGGAAAAAAAAAAAGAAAGGAAATTATAATATTCTTACACAGAAAAAAAGAATCTTATATAATCAGTTACAAATCAGAAATGCAAGAGATTATTTAAATAATATATTTGTCACTTTCACATTGTGCACAACTTGATGATCATTGCCTCCTACCTGGCGTTGTCATTCCCAAAAGCAAAGTCTTGGAAACTGTCCATTTTATCCTTCTGGCATGAATTTCTGCCTGTTTATATTCGTGCACAATGTCCATCAGTCAATTAGCCCATCTCATCCATCTATCTGCATGGATACGACTGGTTACGTTCCTGTTGTATTTCTGAGGTATGTAGGTCATGTCTCCATTGGGTACTGCTGACTCTGCTAGACAGCAATTACACAAATGCTGGCTTTTACTGGAGAGAAAAAGAAACGTTGTTAGGAAAGCTGCCCTAAGATTTGCCTTCTATTTTCTACAGCCCTCTAATGGAGGGTCTGCCTTGAGTGTTCTGATGAGTTTTGATCAGACAGGCTGACTTACATTGGTTTGCTATGCGTTTTCACTTCTTGCTGCCATGTTTGCTTTGCTTTTGTGTTGGCTATTACATAATCTGTTAGAACCTGCTCATTTGCTCACTTTCCTTTTTTTGCTTACTTTTTTTTTTTTTTGACTATTTTGAGAAGTCAGGCCTGCACTTCTTGAGTGTTGCTCTGACCCTCCAACAGAAGCTGAAGCCCCTGTCTGCTGGGTGCGGCTTCCCAGGAGATGGCCTTTGGGGATGGAGGGCTTTGGGGCTGGAAATTAATTTTTGAGGGAAAGAGAATTTTGATGAACCCATGTCTGATCCTGTGATGCTGCCCAAGCACACGGTGTTTCATGATAAGACAGGAAGATTTCTTTGTTCATGGCTTGAATGCTTCTTTCCCATTAGTGGCAGAGAGAGCCATGCTGGCTTGGTTGCGTTCAGTGCTTAACACAGGCTCAAAGATGTGAATAGCTCCAGTTAGGTCATCAGACGTCCTTGCATGCTCCAGATCTTTATGAGTTAGGCATGTACTTAGCTGAATCAAGTCTGCAGCTCTTCATGTTCCTTGTCCTGCATGCTCAGTACTTCACTGTGTTTGATCCTATATTCATGCAGTTTCTCACCAGAAGAACCACTGAGTCATCTAATCTCGTATGAACCCCAAGTAGTGGCTCATCAGCCAAAATTGCTGGCAAACTCTTTCATCCAGTTCACCACCTTTTTTCTGAAGGAGAAGGGAAACAGCTGTTTGAGCAAGGACCAGAGCCAGACAGCTGGACGCCTCGTCGTGCAGCCAGCCAGGCTGCTCAGCCGCCCGCAGCGGCCAGGCTCTCCTGGCAGCAGCGTGGGCTCGGCCCTCGCCGTGCCTGAGGCGGGACACCCAGCTCCAGTCTGATACCTCAGCCCTCCAGACCCTCAGATTCATCTGTTACTTCCTGCACTGTGCACACCGGCTTGTGTCTGGCTCGGGCTTTTCCCAAAGACCTTGAGACAGCTGGTTATACACATGCCTCCATATTCTGGCACTGGATCAGGTATGGGGACTGCAGTGCCTGGGCATGCCTGGTTATGCCTCCTCGCTCCTGGGTACCAGCTTTTTCTCACCTTTGAGGTGCTCCTGTTACCTGGTAAAGTGACTGCTCTGTTATTGTTGCTCAAACCCAGCACAGTTTGAGTTATTCAGACCTCCCTGAAGGCAGATATCACGTTGGCCACAGCATCTTCCTATCAGTGTATGTTGAATTTCCAGTGGGGAGTGGCCTATGAACAGTCACCCTTGGCTTGGTCAATAGAACCTGTAATCCCTGTTTGCAGGTTTCATGCTGGAGCATTGTGTTTTCCTTTGTATTGAGGAGCATTGTGTTTTCCTGGTCTGTTTTCCTTCTGATTACTCATTTGTATGAGTCAGTCTTAGCACTGTGCCAGTCCTCGTGTCAGTGTGAATGTAACTGTCAGGGGCTTTATATTTATTTCACTGATGAAAATTTGTAATACTTACAAGGTTAGGAGCAGCCCCTGTGGAATCCCACCAGAAATCTTTTCATTTGGTAGAAAGTCCCCACTGATGCCTACGTTTAGCCAGTTCTTAATCCATTCAATATACGCTTGAATAAAATTATGTAGTGCTGTTTTTTAATCAAAGTATTATCTAATATTAAATCAGCTATCTTACTGAATGCAGGTAAGTTCCATGTGTGCAGCTAGTTTCTCTAACCAAGCTTATAGTTTCAAAGTGTAAAATAAGGTACTTTGTGTGTTTTTCTTTTCTGTTGTTTTAAGATCTGGTTTCCGTAAAACCAAGTCAATTGACTGGCTTTAATTATATTCTTTTGCAAGCATATCATCTGGCTTCTTTGCAAGTATGGAACAAATATTTACCAAACACCTCTGCCTCCTTTTGAATCATTAGTAATAGTCCTGTCATCTGTAGCCAGTAATAGGCCTACACCGAATTTTTTTTGTTACTATTATTTTAATTTGCTCTAAGATCTACTTGAATGTCATGTATTTGTCAAGCATAGATTTTTTTCTACGAAGTCTTCAGCTTTCCATTTCAGTTCACTGCACTTCATAATTTCCAGCACATATATAGATTTTGTCCAGGGAAAAAAACCCAACTTTTTTCTGTTTTTTTTTTTTAATCCATATTAGTCAGCAGGACATAAAGAAGTCCAGATCAAGGAAAATTCTTAATATCCAACCATGCTGAAATGAAGAAAAAGACTCCAAGCCTCATCCTGAACCTTATCTCCGTCTTCCATGGAAAAAAGACATTCATTTTTTGGCAAAATTTGCCAACCTGATGTTTGCAGTGCCTCTAAATTTTCTGTTAAAAGCAATGCTAGTCTGAACTGTAATTCATGAAAAATACTAGCATTTTGCTTTTTTCAGAGATTGTCTGGTCAGGAGGGGGGTCAAAACAACAGTCTGCAGCAAGTCATATGTCTCCACATTAATCCACACAAGGAAGTGTCTGTTTCACTTATTTCCAAATGAGGAATGTTTTCTTTAGAGAGGTAGCAAATTGATTTTCCCCACATGGAGCGCGGGATATCTCATTTCCAAAACAAAACTTTCAGAAATGGCTACACAAGTCCACTCTTTCTCCATGTGGGTTAGAAAGCAGCATGATTCCTTAATGTTTCCTGCAAGGTTGTTCACTGCTGTGCTCTGGAGTTTCCAGGTCAGGCCTGGCATATTCACTTATAAAGAAAGGAATAAACAAGTGTTTTCATTTAGAAAAAGCCTAGGTAAAAATAATTTTGATATTCATGTTGTTTCATGTCAGCTTGAGCAAGCATGAGGGATGTGTGTGTGAACAGAGAGGCTGTGTGACCTCCACAGCTTGGTGAGAGCTGCAGTTGTTGGTAGGTGCTCATCACTGACTTCCATAGGTGTACTTAGGATCCTGTTGAGGCCTTCCCCAAATTGAATTGATACCGTTGTTGCCTAAACACAGGTCTGGGGTTTTTTGTCATAGACTGATATTTTGCTTTCTTTTCCAGGCACTTTAATTTCTACCCTTTCAATGCAATATTAGGTTACTTACAGCTTGCTGCTTCTCTTCATCAGCTCAGCGTGCCTGGGCAATAAATGCCCCAAGCCCTCATTTTTGGACCCTGTTTCCTGGAGGCAAAAGCTTTTAAATAAACTTTCAGGGTTGAAAGGAGAATAAATTAAATGTGAAGGCCTGAAGTCAAAATGCAGAAAAGGGAATGAGGGGAAGGAGATAAAATAAGGAGATGGTAGTGGCAGGGAAATCAAGGAAGCAGCTGGGACTCCACAAAATATGCAAGATTAACTAAGCTTTGAACAGTTTTTGAGACCATGCTTAAATACAGCAATATGCTTTTCTTAACTTCCAGATATTGCAGAATGCCGGAAGCCCCCTAGAGGGGTAAGTGTTAAAGCCATTAAACCTGTTAACTTTCTATTCATTACATTTTAAAAGGCGCAACATGTAACCATATTTTTCAGCCAAGAGCTAACTTTTGCCAGGCTGCATTAGGGATGTCCTCAGCCACCAGCTGTTTGCCACCTGCTAACAGGCATGGTCAGTTCATGGATTTTGTGGATCTGGGGCCATTCTTCTCACCTTGACTTCGATGGCCAGGCACCTCCATATGCCGTCTCCAGCTTCTATTTGGCACCTGACTCATGCATAGCTCTGGGATCTGACACATCCTGCCATTTCCACCTGCCTCGGAGGGAAGGTCTCCTAATCTGTTCTGTATGTACGGATGGTTTTGCAGCTTTTGTGCAGAAGACATGTGAACGACTGGCACAGTGCAGGAGGATCCTACGAGGGGACACTGCGCAAGGTGTCCTTCAGGGAAGAGTGGCTGTGGATGCATTTGGCAGCTGTGCTGCCACTGCCTGCATCATGTGTCTTCTGAATGCAGCACCACTGTTCATCCCTGTTTATTCACTTCTTGCAACTTCCTCTGCTCCATCTAAATCCTGGTTTGTGATTACCTCTCTCTGGTACACTCCCACCTCTGCATTTAGAGCTCACCTGACTCCGTGAGCCCACTCTAAATGTAGACCAAGATACTGCTGGTCCTCCTTTGTTGATGGCCATGGAGATTTTTAGAAGCTCAGCTGATTTTTTTTTTAAATGGATTTTTGCAATTCGCAGATATGCTGTTGTTCTTCCTTCATCTTTCCACAAAACAGTCACAGAAAACAGCAGGCAGGCAGAAGAATCTGGTTGGCAGTCTAAGCTGTAAGTCTATTAGCTGAGTACATTCCTCAGCAAAATATGGCAATGGCCTTCTTTTCCTTTCTTTTTTTTTTCCTTTTTTTCTCCTACTTTTGAAATGTGTCTGAGAAACTGGAGTATCAGCAGGCCAGAATCAGAAATTGTATCAGGAAATAGTTACGCAGGTCAGAGAGGCCTGGAAAGGCAAGAATTTTGATCACAGGCATTACAATTGTTTAGATGTGCTCTAGAGTAAGAAATGTGGAGCAAGCAATTAAAAGATACATGTTTTAGGCATGAGTACAGTACTTGTTTACTTACATGGTTTGCTGAGCAGCCAGCAAGGTCCAAGGTTATTTTGGGCTCAACATGAGTAAGTGATCCAGGTATGAAAAATGAGGTAATGCATTCCAGGCTCATTAAAAACTCTTGGCTACACCACTGATTTTGACAAAGTGCCAACATAGCTTGACCTCAGTTCTGTGAAGGCCACTATTTTTTTTAACACCCTCCCTATAACAACAAATCTTCTGCATCAGCCAAAATATGTGAATGTAGGGAACAGCGTTATTGGGAGGGTTGAACTCCTGGACTTCCAGTGATAATCAAACTCGTAAAAAAGAGGTAATTTTACAGTAAATGACCTGCTAAAGTCAGGTACCCCAAAACAACGCAATTATTTATTGACTTATTCATGGCATTATCAGTGTGGATGTAGCTCAGGTGAGGCTGACCTGATAACAGGGAGATGGTAAGCCCTGTGATCACTTCCTCATCCTGGACACATAGGCAAAGCAGGTGGCAGGTGGGTGTGCTGTCTTGTGGCAGCCCACGTTTTTCCATTGTAAATAGTGTTAATGGTCGTGGTTGATTTTGGCAGCTCCCACTTTTGGGTATTTCTCTTTTCCCTGCATAGAACTTGCCTTTCTTGGGGTAAAACCAAGAAAGGAGTTCTTCTAGGCAGTGAGGCATGGAAATTCTTCTTTTTCTTGTATCCTGCTGAGCAGGCATTGTCTGTGTAAGTTGAACAACTGAGGGTGGTAGTGACTGGAGAAGAGAAGCCACAACCTTATGAATTTTCTAAGTAGGTGGGCAGGGTAGCTACTGTCTCCTTCTGGCCTATCCCAATCACCTACAATATCCTGATGTTTGCACAGACTGGTGAGAGTGCTGCAGGGGAAGATGTAATTTTTGAGCAGTGATGCTGTTTCTTGGCTTCATGAACAGAAAGAACTTCTGGCTTGGAGGAAACAGCTAGCTAGTGAGCAGCATTAGCCTTGAAGCTTCTCTCTTTTCTGTGTGGTTCTCTTGGTGGGTCAGAGCCTACAGCTGATCTTCTCAGTGATTCCCGGTCTTTATTTCTCTGCACAGATGCCTCTGAATTGTCCTTGTTCCATTACTGTAGTTTGTAGGCAGATTGTGCAAGAATAGGCTTTGGAAACATCTTCGTATTGGGATATCTTTAGACAATAAAGATTTGCCAGTCTCCATCTACAGATAAGCTAACTCACGCTGTTCATGACACAGGCTTTGCATTTAACCTCTCAGGTGTAACAGTTTGCAGTAAAAACATGTAGGGCATTGCTGGGGTTTTGGCAGTACAGAGCACAGGCACAGTTTGGGGACTCCTCCAGGCTCAAGGAGTGTTCACTTGTACTTGTGTGCATTTTGCTGCTAGCTGTGATTTACCTGGCCATACCTGAAAGGTTTGCCAGGACTCAGCAGGTAAAAGGAGCGGGAAAACACCACACATTGGCAAAAGGCAATCATGTCATCAATTACACAGGAAAGAAAGTTTTTTTAAGTGGTACCATGTTTAACTGGTACCGTGTCTCTCTCATAGTCCTGTTACAAGCACTCACACCAAAGAGGTGGCAAATACTGCAAGCTTTTTTCTGTACTTATTTATTAATTTTTTACTTCAATTTTCTTTGCTTATGCTCTCGCCTTCTGGGAATGTGCAGATTATCAGGCCTCACTGCCACAAATGCTTTCAGAAAATGAATTTGAAAGCCATATGCACAAACACATGAAGAAAGTGAATCATTTTGGATATTCTTAGGTAGTCATGCCAGAAGTCCTTCTCCACTAGAAAACAGAAGAAAACCCATAGGATACTCACTTAGCTGTCCAGTACATACTGAACATCCAACATCATCAGGAAAACTGAATGTGACTAAGCCACAAGATGTGTAAAATCGCTTTAAAATAATTATGAATAACGAATTCAAGACATTTGCAGCATGCTCATGAATATGTCAAAAATTAAACAAAAGATGACAAAACTGAGACATGAATGTAACTTGTAAATTCTTTCTTTGGTCCTAGTCATATTTCCTCACTCACACGAACAAAACGAATGTCACTGAATTGCAGTAATCTTCAAATAATGTGTTTATTTATAATGGTTTAGAGAGCAAATATTAATGGCTTTGTTTCAAGGGTGACTTGGGACTATGTCAAATGTTTTCTTTTACAGAGTAGATATTAGATGCCAGGGCCTTCTCTTCTGATAATAATTCCTGTTGCTGCTTTCTTGTTAATTGTGTGTCAGATCTGGAGTGGCTTTAGGTGATTTAAAATCATGCCATGGGGCGTGTGGGATGGTCCTTGTGTGTGCTGCAGACAGACCTTCCCTGCTGCAGCTCCTGAGCCACACGGAGAATGCAAATACCCCATTTCGTAGTGGGTTTGTGCCAGTTCTGCCGTGGAAAGCTCCAATTCAAACAGTGTTTATATGCAAGCTCAATATACCTGGAATTTAGGAACAAATGCCTTCTTGCTTTTAAAGCTTTTAGCAAAACATTAGCAGTGCTTTATAGTGTGATGCAAAGTACAGTGCCAAAACTCAGGATAACAAGTGTGTTTGAAAAACACTGAGCCTTGAACTAGTTTCTTTATTTGTTAAAAAGTAAGAACGGAATGAAGGAACAAAAGAAAGGACAAATAACTCACATGCAAGTATATTTGATGGTAGCTCAGCCACATCCCTCTTTGGCCATTGGTTGGGCCAGGCCTGGGGATCCTTTCATTCAAAGGTTAATCTTTTAATATGTATGCCAAAGTGTAGTAAATTGAGGGAACATTCCTGTTTCCTTCAGTACCTTTTTAAAGAACTCAGCGACCGCTGAGGCAGACCGTGGCTAAGGATCTGTCCATCCCATCCAGGTCGTGTGCCAAAAAAATCCCTGTAGGCATCAGGAAGACATCAAAGGTTGAGCGGGGTTTATAAATAAGGCAGGGCGGCGTGGCCAGGGCTGGCAGCCGGCGCTGGAGCCCTCGGAGCTCATCCCACGCTCCCGCCGAGCCGCTCATCTCTGTTTATATGAGTAATGGAGCGGCTGGGGGAGGGGATTTGTAAGCACGGAGCAAACACTCTTAGTGTTCATTTTGTGTAACACTGACATCCACACCACGTTGAGACTCCCAGCGACGTGGTGTGCAGTCACATGCTGTAGCATTCATGAGTACAGATATAAATCAGGCAGATGTTTGTCGACTGGAATGGGTAATAATTTCTTTCTCTCTTTGTTTGATTTTGCATGTTAGCCTCAGATGACAATTTCAGAATTGCTTTCTGCAGTACTTTTCAATAAGCAGAATGTGCTTCACTGGAGATAGATGGAGATATTTCTGTAGGGAGATAAATGTATTTTTAGATAGACACAAATATGGACTTACTCCCATATGCACATGCATTTATATATATACTCATACACATACAGATTTTTTTTTTTTTACCTTACACCAGTGTTGGGGGAAGAAAAAGGATCTGACTTTTTATTTTAAACCCAAAGCTTTTCTTTTTCTCTGAACAGACCAAATATGACAGTGCTACTCAAACTATAAAATCAAATTAGCACCCTTTATTGTGTTTGCAAACTAATTAAAATGTAAAATGTCCTGAAACCACTGGCTTACTGTGTAACAAATTTAAGATTAGAAACAATTAGAAGACACTCAAGAGGTTTCTGATGTTTAGATTTCTGACATTGTTCTAATCATCCCTTTAAGTAATGAAAACAATGGTTACCTAAAAATTAAAGGTTTAAAGCAGATTATCTTATTCAGTACAGTCATTAGTTAATAATTGTTTATCATTTTAAATGTTGCCATAGTAGTCAGAGGCTGATTTTTAAATCTGAAAGCAGAGGGGACATGTAATAATGAGTAAACATCTGCTTCATCTATTATTTCTATATATGATCATAATTTATGTTGTAATAGCACTATTGAAAGATGAGTGTGATATTTTTTATGATGATCCATATCCCATTCCTCGTATGGCTCAGCACAGCTAGGATTTAGTCACAGTGTTATTTCAGAGCTGTTTTATCTTAAGAGTTGGACAAAACTGAAAGTGATTCACATTAATTTGTATGTGTGGTATGTAACCCTTATGAAACAATCAATCACTTATTTCAGTACTTGTCAACTTCCAGAACTAGCTGTTAAGGGGTTTTTTTGATCCCTTTCAAGACTCGGGGGTAATTTTTTTATTTTTTTCTTAAACTTTTTTAGAAAAACTTTGACAAGGCTGACAGGATATATAAACATTTCTTGGAGCTGTAAGGAATTTCAATATTTCAGAGCATTTCCAATGCCAGATGTTTCCCAAAGTTGGAAATAGCAGTTAGTACTCTTGCTTAAAGATTAGAAATAAAGGCAGCAGGGTGATTAATGCAAAGTTGCCTATTAATATTAAATTTTGTTCTTTTTTGTACCAGGGAGAAATATTTGTGCTTTCTGTCTGATTCCTTGAGAGACCAGTGTTTGACTTAATATTAATTAGTTATGTGAAAGTGGAATAGATTAGCCTTGGGGGATATTCTATAGAAATGTATAGTGTGACAAGATGTAACCCACAGAGGACGGGAATCTCGTAATAAGCATTTACTGTAGACAGATGTGTACATTTCTGTGAGTGATTGTAGTGGAATTATTTATTATGCTTTCGCCTGTTAAGAATCCAGTATAAGACAATGTGCTCAAAGTGTTCTCCATTAATTTTCAGCGCCAAATCTTAAAGGCAGACCGCGCAAAAAGAAGCCATGCCCACAGAGAAGGGATTCATTAAATGGCATTAAGGATTCCAACAATAATTCTGAAAGCAAAGCTGTTGCCAAGGTAAATCACTTAATAATACTCTTTTCGGCACTCTCTTCTTTTTTAGGTACAACCCTGCCTTTGTTTCCCAGCATGCAGTTTCACATTTAGAGTGTAACTTATTTTCTTGGGGAGGTAAACTTAATATTTTTCAATAGCTTTATTTTTCACTTTAAGTCATGCCTGTGTTCAAAGTTACCAGCAATTATAATCACATAACAACCTAATGCTATCAGCTTGTTGGTAGCTGGTAGTGCTTAAGCTTTCTTGGCATCTAGTGTTAGTTTTCACATTCTGTGACACACAAACATAGTGTGTGACAGTATCTAGGAATTAAAAATAAACCTGGGAGCAGCTCACCCTGTTACAATGTACTTCTAAATATAAGTTTGAAGATAAACAGACTATGAAACAAGAGCTGCCTCAGTAATGGTTTCTAAGAAGCAAACACAAAAGACATTACCCTGATGTTATGATCTCAACATTTTTTAATTGGAAAAAAAAAAAAAAGATAAAGGCAGAAACTCGATATGAAAGCATAAAAAAATCTGGGCTGTTTCTTTAATACTGACTGCTGAGCTGCATGTTCCACGGTTTGCTGAATAGTGCATGCTTTTACAGAGTCTTCTGTATGGGCTGCAGTGCTTAGCCCATACTGCAAGTAAAAATTGGATCACTGATTAGTGTTTATAGACTTAATCTCTAAGATATTTGTGGGTTTGTGTCTTTTCCTTAAAATACTTTAAAATGGAGTTTCTGTAGTATAAATTGCATCCTATATTGTATGTTGTCTGAGTGGTTTTAGACAGGAATTTAGTTTTCTCTTAAAATAAAGAGCAGCACAAATGGCTGCTTTCAAGATGATTTAATTAGAAACTCTGAGGTGCAAAGATGGAAAATTACTTAAAGCAATAGTTGATTTTTATCTGAGACAAAACTTTGTCGCTTATGCTTTTAAGCTAAACAGCTAAAGAGATTTGCATATACTGAAGTTTTACACCAACTCCTCCCAAATCTCTTGTTTCAATAAATTAGATGGATGTGTATCCGAAAAACACTTCCATTGTTGTGACCATCTCTTTAGGAAATACAGTGGATCTATAGATCCATTTGCGTTGGTATTGTTGTACACAGTGAATGTCCTGGGAGATTAGGAGGTTAAAGAGGTCAAGTAGGAGTGTTCTGCTCTCAGTTTCTCACAGGAAGGCAAATTAAATTCCACCTCCTCCTCCTCCTCCCTAGGAGTTCAGTTAAAATTGTGCCTTCTGTTGATGACGATAAAAGAGGCTGAAGTTCATGATGAAACTCTGCCCTTAAGTCATTGTTTCTCTTCTTTTTGTGCCCTATTGTGCTCAGTCGGAGTCTGTACGATCGTATTAGACAGGCATGGTAAGAGGTGATGGAGCCTGGTGTGTTGAGTTGCGGGGTCCTGCCAGATACTATAGAGTTTGTCTGAATGTTTTCTCTGTGAAAGAATGTGCAAAATCCGTTGTGTGAAAATGTCTCAATTTGCCTCAATTCTCCCTTCCCCCAAGCCATTTTTCATGTCAAAATATTGCCAGTGCACTGTGGCATGGACCATATTGTCAAAGCACCCCAGACTGTAGCACAAGTAGCTCTGCCTCTTCAGCACCTGATATATAGGTATTAGATAATTAAAAACAACAGTAACACTTCATACCAAATTGTTTATCCTCTCTGTTTATCTTTGGGTTCACACTACTAGTCAGATGGGAGGATGTTTCAGATAAGAAGTAATTCCACCTATTTATCTAGTCATACTGTGCTCATCATTGTGCAGATATTAATAGCATTAATTATCTTGGCCAGCTTAATTTCATTATAAATAATAGACATGCTCATGATATAATGTCCTCGCATGTAGTCACACTGACTTCACTGAGGCTCTTCACATCAATCTGTGTCTCAGGGCTGTGGGTACACTTCCCTGACAGCAGGACAGTGAATCAAACCCTCCATAGCAGATGTACTGCACTTCCTGCAGACCCTGCCTGTGCCTTACTGGGGAGGGAGGAGAAGGGTATTTGGGGAAGGGGAGAAATAGAGATCCACCTACCATCTTCTCATTGCTGGGAACTGTTGGGATGTGGTCATCTGAAGCTCCATGTTGGAGTTCACCATTGGTTATCCTCCTCTGTGAGTGCTCCATGTCTGACTAATGCTGACAATGGGTCCATGGAGAGCAGGATTGAACACTGCTCATGTAAATGGGATTAATCCACTTGCGTCAGATGCTGAAGCTTTTGCAGTCCTGGCCATATTCTTGTCGCAGATAAAATCCCTTCTGAACAGAAGTTGTGCTGATTGCATTCTCATTCTCGTGTCACTCAGTGTCTGGCAGTAGGCTCATTTCTCAGTGGTGGGGTGACAGCTCTGATGGAGTTGCAGTGACTGTATGGTTTGGGTTGGGAAACGGCAGAAAGGGCATTCCAAAGGCTGTGGTTTTGAGCCTGTCAAGACCAATGCAAGCTGCATAGTTGTCATGACTTGCTGAATTTCACGTTCTCAACTGCCAGTGACTAGAAAGCTTAATTCTTAAAACCTAGTTCTCATCAGGCATGTTTGTCTTGAGCTATCAGCAGATCATTTTGAGGGTTTCACAGTTAACCTGACAAGGAAAAGTATCTGGTGCATTTCTAGGTCAGTTCCAGTATAGATGACTTGTTAGAAATAGAGTGATGGCATCACAGGTAGTGTGGTCCTGGACCTGGAGGTGCTGCCAGGGAAGGTGGGTCTTTTGTGTCCCACTTCTTGCTTTTGCTCTCTTGATCTCTTTGGTGGTCACTGCATCAATTTTAGTGCCTCCTGGGGAACGTGCCAGGGGAGTTCTGTCCACGGCTGGGAGAGGAATACAAGGCCATCTACACCAGCAGAATCATCTCTCCTGGAGAGGGATATATCAAGATCTTCCGTTGAAACACTCCTGGGACTCTGGAGGCTTTCATATTTGATATGTCATCAATACTGGACAGGCTTTTGGAACCTGCGAGCTCCAGCAGATGACCCTCATTGTATCTGCTTCATCTTTCCGGAGAGTGTTCCCAATTCAAAGTGCATTCTAATGCTTTTTAAAACTGGCTGATCTGACCATTTTGAGGAACTGAAAGGATTAACTTGTTAAACATGGAAACTGTCCCCAAATGAATCTAT